CAAAATGTAGTGAATCGACAAACAAAACAAAAAAGGAATTGATATTTTCTTCAGACTTTTTGTAATTTTCAGAATTGTGGAAGCAACATTTTTCAAAAATATTTTTTTAAGCATATATAAGTCATATATATCCACGATATACAAGATGAAGTGCCGTTGAATTAAAAGTCTCGGAATCTTAAAAAAACATATGACGAATCTTGGGTAAGTTTTGGTATTGCAATACAATAAATATATATGTACGTAATATTTCAACATTATTATCTTACAGATTTTTAATAGATGTCACTCCAGAAGAATCCAACAGATTGAGAAAATAATTAAATGAATAGGTAAATATTCTCCAAAAAAACCCATGTCTTTATTTATATTTTGTTATTTTCTGTTTCAGATGCTTCAATATTTCGTGATGAGAACGGATGTTAAAGCGGTCAAGAAACAAAAAATGCAAATGTCAATATAGCGGCGTAAATATTCAGATAAAATTAAGCAAAACATAAACTATGTATATAAATTATGAAATAAATAAGAAATACATTTCCCGTATAACATTTATATTTCCAATTTTCCAAACTTTTATAATAGCCAATTTGCTATATATTTGTAACTAGGAATAATACTTAACAATGGTATCTAGCCAAATGACTGGTTACTGGTAATGCAGGCAGGGGACAATTGACTTCCCCAATGACATACCCATGTTAAATTCACCAGTCTAGGGCATGATGTGGTAACTAGTGGTAGTTACAGGTAATTAGTAAAATAACTAGTTTATAACCAGTTACTCGAACTACTGGGCCTGCTTTAAAACATAAATGAAAGTAGAGTGTTGAGTGTACTTAAGTGCGTATAAAGTAATCCGAAATAATAAATTAGAACGGAATAACGGTACATTTAAAATAGATATTTTTTCCAATGTTAAAAATGGTATTTTTTAGCTATAAAATTGTGATCGTCGTGTGCATTCTGTGAATATATTATTATAGAATTTTGTCCATTTTTATATATAGTATTGGTATTTAATTAAATGGAATAGTTATATAACCCATAATTTATTTTAATTTAGGTGTTTTCGGCTAAATATATGTAAGGTCCATTTTTTTAAATTCCGTCAATTAAAATAGGGGTTTCGTATGGAGTGCAGTCGAGTTCAGCGTTGTTTTTATTTTTGTTGTGTATCTGTCTAGAACATCATACTAAATTTTTTCTTGCGACTCTCGGATTTATGGCAATTTTTTGAAAAAAAAAATAAAAATATAAGAAAAAACAATTTCAAAATGTCCGTCCTAAGGTTCCAGACAAATGGGTATGAATATGAAAATGAGAGTATGTAAGTAAGCTGTTCCAAACAATGATTTTGAACTCATGCACTGAATATACATTTATTCCAAATGTCTTTCTAAATAAAAATCGGTTGCAAGAGTCTCCTCAAATACCGCAGGTAAAGGGTATACTTTATGAACCCTGAAAAATATCATTGGTGTAACATTTATATATACACGATTTTACCTACATGTATGGTTTTCGCTATAAGCAAACGGACGGCAAGACAATTAGTGCTATATCGGAATCATCTACCCAATCATGTGGAATTTGCGGTGCATCACCAAAAGTAATGAATGATTACAATAAAATTTCGTCATTAACACCAAACATGAACTTATACGAATACGGTCTGTCTACCTTACATGCAGGGATTCGATGCTTAGAATGTATATTTCATACCAACTGGTTTTGAAAAAGTGGAAAATTAATAGCTCCGATCGGCCTCTTTTCGAAGAAAGGGACGGAATCATTAATGATTTGAAGGAAGAAATGCACATTATTGTTAACACACCTAAGTCAGTATCCGGAACAACAAACGATGGCAATACTGCTAGGCGTTTTTTTAGCCAACCTGGCTTGGCATCGTCGATAACTGGTGTTGATGAAAAATTAATTACAAATTTTAGTACCATCCCTTCAGATTCATGCTATTAACGCAGATTCATTTAAAGAACTTACTGAGGAAACATTTATTATTTTCGTGGAAGTATATCCTTGGTTTTATATGCCTTCAAGCATACACAAAATATTAGCTAATTATATCAGCTCTATACACTAATATTTTGTGTATAGATGTGCAAATGTGCAGCTTTACCCATAGGAATGTTGTCCGAAGAGCCATGGAATCCAGAAATAAGGACTTTCGGAACTACAGGGAACTTTACACCAGAAAAATGAGTCGTGAGGAAACAATGTGGGATCTTTTCAATTGGTTGCTGCTATTTTCTTCTGAGCCAAAAATATCAAGTTTGTCTCGTAGTACATCTCTTTACCATCGATATAGTGAGCCACTATCTGAAGAAGTCCTTAAACTACCGGAAGATCCAATGCTACCAACTAATTCAGATCAGAACTCGGATTCTGAATGTGATTAGTATTTAATAAGTAATGCCTAATTTTTATAAAATATATATAGTTTAATGCGTTAGATATATAATATTAACAATAATAAAGATACATATAATAACAATATATGTATCTTTATTATCCAAATGTTTCGGAATTTTTAAAAGAAGCTCCCACTTTAGGAGTACTATTAGTTATAAGGGAAAATGTTGCTTAAATGTTTAAAAAGCTTCAAAATAGTAATTTTCACCTAAATTTTTTTTCTAAAAAAAAATCGGCGCTTAGTGGGTTAATAAAAAAATTGCCAATTTTTTTCATAAAATAATTAAAATTGTCCATCTAAATCTATTCTTATCCAAAATATCGATAAACATACAGTAAAACATCTACTTTTATTTTGTGCATTTTTTCCCACTGTGCGGCCGTGCATTGCAATAATTTTTGTAGGGAAATTGGTGGTTCCGGAATTGAGGTCAAAATCGAAAAATCCAAAATAAGCATGCGAAAATATAATAGAGGTCATGCTGTATAATATAAATGTAAGGTATGGGAAGGTATACTCATTTAGAGTGAATAATTCCCAATATTTTTTGGATATAATAACGAAGCGGTATACTAATACCATCGAGGAATTGTAGAGCCAACTGAAAAAAATCTTTATCTGAATAAAACCGTAGGCAATTTTTTAATGTTGATATTTTTTTGATGATTCCTTTGAAGAATTTATCTGGTTTGCTGGTCAATTATATGCGGGTTACTCGTGATGACACCTTGGTAGATTTTATAAAGGAAACAGCAATTTCTTAGCAGATGGACGTGTATTTGAATAATTTTGTAGGAAAATTGTGGTACATATTTAGTTCCTTCCAAACCCTTTTAGAAATCGGAAATCCCGGTATTAAGGTCGAAATCGATGAATCCAAAATAGGCAAGCGGAAATATAATAAAGGTTATGCTGTGAATGCATTGGGTGTTCGGCGGTGTAAAGCGGAAGACAAATAAATATTTTATTGTTCCGGCGGAGGACCGCCATTGGAGGAATAAAAGTAACCAGTTTTAGGGATGCAATAAGGAAGAAGCAAACTAATACCTTCTTTATCTGAATATAACCATAGAAAACCTGTTTTTTAACGGTTGAGTTCAGAAATTTACATTTTAAGCTGTTGCTATATTCCCCAATACAACGAGGAAAAATTCGTGCCGGACTTCTATCAAGGAGGAAGTTAGAATTAAACATTGTTAATTGCAGGCTAATGATTCGTTGGTATACCCTGGCTTCTGGTCTCAAGTTGTCATAATCCTCGAGGTATAATCATGGTACAATAATCCAAGGTAGGATAACTTGAGATGAATAAAAAAACAACACTGTATATAGTGGAGTCTTCTGTTAAATATAAAGAAACATACGCTGTGTTTAACATTTTTTAGCACATAACTAAAAACACGAAAATGAAAGGTTATGATTTATTTCCCAAAATCCAGTATGGAATACCATGATATGTTTGTTTCATTATATCTATTTTTTTTAATATTTAAATAAATATTTGTAAAATAAATTTTAATATTCTGGTAGTTATTTGAGTAGGTCCCATCCTTCCTGTGATAACTGTTGTATAAATTATTAATTATTATTAATTTTGTTATTATAATGATAAGTATCTCTCATTTTGTAGTTTTTTATTCTGTTTTAATAAACACGATGACGTGCTAGAATAAATTTTTCTTAAATCTATTAATTGAGCTATTTCCGCTCCATCTTCGAATAGAATCTTAATTGCAGACAGAATTTTAGATCTCTATGACACAGTAGAAAATGTCTGCCCGACATGAGGTAATGGTCCACATGACACTCTGCACCTCTTCAACTGCCCAGCAAAACCCGCTCACCTAACCCCATCTTCACTTTGGACACAATCGGCACAGGTCGCAGTTTTTTTGAATCTGAAGTTAGAAGTAGAACCAGATTAAAGAGGAAACACACAACATTGTTAGCTGCTACAAAAACAACAGGGAAGAGAGCACTCTTGTGGTGTCTCCCTGTTGTTCCGCACGGAACTCTCTGCAATATATGAATTAACAAATTTGCTTCTTAGCATCCCATCAATTCATTCAATTAAAGTTGAGGAGACATCTCCAGATTCAATATCCTAGAATGCAGTCATATATTTAATAATCCATATTCCTTTCAATGTGTCCGACCACACATTTAAGCCATTATCTTTGATTATATATAGACATTTGATATATTTCCTGTTATTTTTGTAGCATATTTTCAGGAGCTGTTCCATTTTATATGGATGTTGATGCTTCCAGATGACCAAAAAAAATTTACTCTAATTTATATTTTTTAAATTTTATTTCGTAACTTGTCATCTTATATAGTTTCTATAAAAAATTATCAATTATATTATAACTAAAATATATTTATATACGTTGCTTAAATCTAATCGAAGTTTATAAATAAATATAAACATTATTAAATTTATGGATTATAATAGTAATGATAATAATAATATTGGCACTTTACTTAACTAAAAAAACCTCATTGCGTTCACATGAACATATCGAACGTTCTTTCGATTCGTTACTTCAGTGTGATTCCCCTCCTTTTATGTACAATCATTTGCCCTTTGTCCCGGTATGCCACGCAACTCTTGATTAAGCGTACGCAGCAGAGGATGTTTACCACATCCACAACGACCACGGAAATCATCCAAATCCAATGCCCAGACCATACCACCACCCAAACGCATTTTACGTACAAATTGTGCCTTGCGACGAATGTCATTGACATCGTCGTAGGATACCCATTGATTGCCACTGTAGGCATAGGGACCAATACGGCCCTGAGGATCGCGCATTACTGTCCAACCGCCGTTGCTAATTTGTTCACAAATTTCATAATAGGCCAAGAAGCCACCAGCCCGAGTATAGGTGCCAGCGCGTCCAGGACCAACAGATTTGTCATTGAGACTGCGGGAATTCGAGTCGGCCAAGGAGAACGATTGACCATACAGCGGCATACCCATGATCAGTTTGCTGGGTGGAGTACCCTTTTCAAGCCAATAATTAATACTGAAGTTAGCATTAAAGTAGGGGTTGCTATCACCCTCAACGTAGTAGAGAGGGGCCACATGACCGGTTTGTTTATCCCAATGTCCATGGAAATCATAGGTCATCACAGCAATCCAATCAAAGTATTTGGCCAATTTGGGTACATCATAACCGGCATCAATGACCATTTTACTGGGTGAAACAGCAGCGGAGAGCAGTAAACCTTTAGGTTTGAATGCCTCGGATAATTCACGTACCAATGAGGCAAAACCTTCCTTTTCGTTGGACGAACCCTTGGAGCAATCCACTTGCCAACAAACTGGATATTCCCAATCCAAATCTAAACCTTCGAAGCCGTATTTTTCACAGAATGCCAAAACACTTTCAATAAAGCGGCGTCTGGCTTGTGGGTCGAGAACCATGCGGGCATATTTACTACCTAATGAGTCATTCCACCCGCCAATGGCCACAGTAACCTTAAGACCCTTTTTCTTGTAGGCCACAACCCGTTCATAGAAACGATTGTCAATATCTGCCCATGAGTCATGTGTCTTGATGGTCAAGGAGTTACTGTTCAACACCGCAAAACCGTAGACAATATGGGTACAGAGATTCTCATCAATATCTTCGGGAACATATTTACCCTGACCGGGACGATACCAAGCCCAGTTGGTGAAATAGCAAACTACCTTGTAATCTTCATTACTGGCCAATGGTGGGACATACGTGGGTTTGGGGTGGGCCACGGGTTTCTTACTGGGTGTCACTACAGGTTTCTTGGTGACCTTTGGTGGAGCCTTCGTGGTAGCAGATGTGGGTTTTGTTGTGGGTATGGGTCTTGGTGCCATGGGTTTTTTCGTGGTGTGATCATCACGCACCATACATTTACTGGCCTGTGGCCAATCGCAATAGTTTTGATTCCAATGCAAGCCAGAGGGGCACCTTTTTGGGAAGATACAAAAGAAGGATTAGTTAAAGATTTTTCAAAATGCCAGAGTTTTGAATACTTACTTTTGTTCCACCAATTCTCCATATTGACAGATATAATATTTGTTACAATCCCGTTCATGGGGAGCATAATTACGTCCAGCACATTCCTTGGGTTTGCCGGGCGCCGAAGTTGGTTTTCCTGGCTTGTGAGCCTGAATTATGGCCTCATTTTGTACACTAGTGTTAATTGTGGGTTTTGGCTTCGCTGGGGCCTGGGGAGCCATGGTCATGCCGGCAACTGTAAAGTGAAGAATAGAATTTAAAATTCAGATTGGTTATCCAAAACTCTTCCTTCTCCTCCTGCCCACTACTTACTCATTGTCTTATCTCTGTCTTCCAGCACACACTTAGGATGTGGTCCTGGATAATTTCTCAGCACCCGATTAATTGTCTTCAGCAATGGATACGATTCACAATCGCAATCATTCTTGAAGTCATCCAAATCCAATGCCCATATCATGGCACCACCCAATCCCATGGCCTTAACATATTCCGATTTATGTCGAATCATTGGAGCATCATCGAATGAAACCCATTGATCACGCAAATATGCATAAGGGCCCATACGTCCACGAGGATCCCGCACAACATTCCAACCACGTTTCCGAATGTAGGTGCAAATTTCATAGTATGCCAAGAAACCCCGGGCTCGAGTGGCTTCTCCAGCCTCACCACCACCATAAGTGGGTGCATTTAGATCATGTTGATCGGCCTGGGCCAAAGAGAACGATTGACCATACATGGGCATACCCATGACCAATTTTTTTCGTTCAGCACCACTTTGCAACCAGTAGTTAATTGAGAAGTTGGCATTGAATCCCTCAGTTCCGGCTGGGTGTTCATACATGGGTGCCACATGACCGGTCTTTTTATCCCATTGTCCGTGATAATCATAGGCCATGACAGCAATCCAATCGAAATGTTTCGACAATTCTGGGACATCATAACCGGCATCGATCACCTTTTGATTGGGTGACACTGCGGCGGAAAGTAACAATCCCTTTGGCTTAAATGCCACCGAGAGCTCTCTGACCAAATCACTGAAACCTTCCTTCTCATCCGAGGTACCCTTCTTACAATCTACTTGCCAGCATACTGGGTACTCCCAATCCAAATCTAAACCATCAAACCCATATTTCTCAATGAATTCCATGACATGGCGAACAAAACGTGCTCTGGCTTCAGCGGAGCGGACCAAACGTGAATATTTATCACCAGCCGAGTCATTCCAACCACCAATGGCAACGGTAACCTTAATACCCTTGGCACGATATGAAGCAACCCGTTCATAGAATTTGTTATCCAAATCAGCCCAACTATCATGAGGTTGTATGGTCAGACGTTCACGATTCAGCACAGCAAAGCCATAGACAATGTGGGTACACAACTCCGGATCAATATCTTCGGGAAGGAATTTGCCACCACCCTGACGATACCAAGCCCAATTGGTGAAATAACAGACAACCTTGAACTCGCCGCCATCTGTGGGTGAGGTAACCTCCTGGGACCCGTCACCCATTGTTATGATCTCTACGTCATTATCATTGTCTTCAGTCTCATTAATGGGATCAATGACATTGGAAACCGTTTCAATTTCGCTGGGATAGATAATTTCCTGGGAGCTAATCATCTCCTCCACAGATTCAGGTTCTTTAACGGGAATAAGACCAGCTGAAAGAGAAAACAAATATAAATTTTTAGATTTGAAATATTCCGAAAATGTGTTAGACTTACGTGTAGGTTCATATCCCGTGGGGGGATCTTTCAGCACATCATGTATCTGGGTCAACAGAGGATGCACACCCTGACCACATCGATTACGGAAATCATCCAAATCCAATGCCCAAACCATGCCACCACCCAAATCTAAGGCCCTAACCAATTGGGACTTCTTGCGTATCATGGCCGGATCATCAAAGGACACCCATTGATTACCCTTGTAGGCATAGGGACCCATGCGGCCCTGTTCATCTTGTACCACTTCCCAGCCTTGGTGTTTGATGCGATCACAAATCTGCAAGAAAATATATTACAATGTGTGAACTACCCTCATACACTTCTTCTATTTATAGGTTATCTTTACCTCATAATAGGCCAAAAAGCCTGCAGCTCGGGTAAATTCTCCAGCCTTGCCGGGTCCTGGAGCCTTAGAATTCAATCCGGTATTGCGTGTATTTTCCAAGGTAAACGATTGACCATATAGCGGCATACCCATGACAATTTTCCTCGACGGAGCACCCTTTTCAATCCAATAGTTGAGGGAATAGTTCTACAATAAATCGTACAATTAATTTACAAATCCCATACAATTTTTCGGAAATAGGGATACATAAGTCGGCTTTCGAATAATCAGTCAGTCGACTTTTTGTGATCGCCATTCGATCATGATATAGATTACGCACCCCTCTTCGAAAACCCCATCATTACTTACCGCATTAAAGTAATCAAAATCATCATCAGGATGATAATACAATGGTGCAACATGTCCCGTCTTCTTATCCCATTGACCATGGAAATCATAGGTCATTACGGCAATCCAATCGAAATATTTGGCCAGCTGAGGAACATCATAACCAGCATCGATAATTTTCTTACTTGGTGAAACAGCTGTCGACAGCAGTAATCCTCTAGGTTTAAACGCCTCCGATAGCTCTCTGACCCATGCGGTAAAACCTTCTTTCTCGTCGGCAACACCCTTATTACATTCCGTTTGCCAGCACACTGGATACTCCCAATCCAAATCTAAACCTTCAAAACCATATTTCTCCAAAAATTCCAGGGCGTGTTTTACAAATTTAGCACGAGCTTGAGGATTGCGAACGAGACGACTGTATTTATCACCCTGAGAGTCATTCCAGCCACCTAAAGCCAAACTGACCTTGACACCCTTACTTTTCAAGCCACTGACACGAGTATAGAAGTTATTATCAATATCAGCCCAGGAATCATGGGTCCTTAATACCAATTCGGAATAATCCAATACCGCAAAGCCATAAACAATGTGGGTACATAGATCGGTGTTAATGTCATCGGGAGTATAACGTCCAGCACCCTTGCGGTACCAAGCCCAATTGGTGAAATAACACACAACCTTGTAGTAACCATCTAGGGGTTGCAGGGCAGGTTTATCGGTGGGGTAAGTGGGTCTCATGGTGGTGGTAGTCGTTGTAGTGGGTCTCTTTGTCGTCGGCGCCGGCTTGGGATTTAATTCATTCGAACCACCCTCATGTGGCCCTCCATCGGCCGAACACATGGCACTTGCTGGCCAATCACACATTCCCGAAGCAGCATTAAAATGTAAACCTGGACCACAATCAGCAGCTTGCAAACGATTCCACAGGCAGAACAAATATTTGGAACAGTCTCCAGGATATGGAACGCGTTCCTCACCATTACATGGATCCTCGGGATTGGATTTCGATTGGACAATACGTAAATAACGTTTGGTTGTTACACACTTGACATTTTCCGGCCAATCACAAATCTTACGTATGGCATCCCAGTGGAGATTGCCTCCACAGGAGTTGGGAACCAGCATGCCATTGATACAAATGTAATATTGACCACAATTCCGATGACTGTAGTATTCACCTTCGTTGCATTTTGCCGAGGTGGGTGGACGACTTTGGGAACTGGGTTTTCGTGTTGTGGCAATCGGTTTTGGGGGTCTAGTACTGGTCCAGGAGGCGGGTACCGGTCGGCGGGTTGTGGTGAATGTGGTGGGTTGGGGTGTCGGTGTCTGGGTTGGTTTGGGAGTGGGTTTCTGGGTAGTAGGTTTGGTTGTTGGTTTTGTGCTGGGTTTAGCTGTAGGTTTGGCTCCCGAGGCCGTAGGCTTTTTCTTCGGGGCACATTGAGCCGCTGCAGGCCAATCACAATTTTTATTCTTTTCATTCCAATGCAGACCACCGGGACAGAATTGTTGTCGAACCTCACCCGGTACAATACATTGATAATAACTATTGCAGTTGTATGAATCGGGATAGAATTGTCCTGGTTGACAGTCCTTGGCGGGAATTACTTCAGGTCGGATGACTGCAGGTGCGGGAATTGTTGTGGGTTTATTTGTGGCCATCGGACGTTTTGTGGTGGTGGTGGTCTGAGTTGGCCTCCTTGTAGTTGTGGTCGTAGTTGTCGAAGATGGTGGTGACCACCAAATTGTTGAAGGTTTCTGTGTAGTAGTGGTGGTCGTGGTAGACGGTGATTGCCACACCGGATTACTGGTGGTATGATCATGCATCATTCCACCTCCCGAACCATCACTGCTAATGGTTGTCATTACCGGTGGCACTGGAGTAGCTGGAACCGCAGGACGGCTACAATCTGAACGTGTTGGTGGTTCAGAGTTATGTCTACCCATGGCACGATTTATGGCCATCAGCAGAGGGAATGCTTCGCTGCAGCAGCGATTTTGGAAATCATCCAAATCCACAGTCCATGCAGCTACACCTCCAAATCCAGAATTTACTGCATAACGTGCCTTAGCCTCGACGGAGGCTGGATCTTCATAGCCCACCCATTGATTACGCAACATTGCATAGGGGCCAGATTTACGTTCCGCATCACGACCCGTCAACCACTTCTGTTTACGAATCCTTTGGCAAATTTCATAATAAGCCAACATACCCGGTTGTTTGGTAAACTCGCCAGGCTCTCCGGGACCTGTGGCCGCGACACCTTCACCCTGCAACTGAGAGCTATCACGTTCCAGCGTAAAGCTCTGACCATAGAAGGGTATACCCATAATAATGCGATCTTTGCGGGCGCCCAATTTCATCAGCAACTGCATGGTGTAGTCGGTATTGTACTGAGGATATTTATCCCCCTTGCGGCCATACAAGGGACTCACGTGGCCCGTTTGTTTCTCCCATGCTCCATGATAATCGTAAGACATAACGGTCATGTAGTCCACAATTTTCGACAACTCTGGGAATTCATAAGCCTCCGTTATGATTTCTTTATAACCCGATATGGCAACACCCAATTTCAATTTCTTATCGACACGATCAAATTCGGAACGGATTTCTTTCAATAACTTTGTCAAATTGGGTTTATCCGCAGCTGGGCCCTTTGAGCAGTCGCTTTGCCAACACTTGGGATAATTCCAATCCAAATGCAATCCGGAGAAGCCATGGCGTTGTAAGAATCCGACCAAATTCGAGGCAAAGACACGACGTTTGATGTCATCCCCCGCTAAACGGGAATATTTATCACCCGCCGAATCAGTCCAACCACCCATGGCAATCAATACGGGAATACCGGTCGATACCACACGACTATACAATTGATTATCAATATCAACCCATGGATCGAACTCCTTAATATTCAAATGATCCGGATCCAAGGAGGCAAACGAATAAATAATCTTCGTGCACAAATTTTTATTCTTCAAATATTCGGGCACAAATTGGCCATCCGCCTTACGATAAAATGCCCAATTGGTGACATAGCATAAAACCTCGGGGGAGTTATTGAAATTCTTATTCGGCTTCGACTGCTTAATATGGGCCAAAGCGCCATAGGGTATATCATCCCCATCCTCAACATCATCGAATTCTTCTACATCATCTCGAAGTTTGCTGCGGGTATTTTCCAAAGCTCCATAAGCAATCAATTGCTGGCGTACCTTAGCCACATCTTCTATGCTCTCTGGATCCTCAATATCTGTGGCCTTTACCAATTGCTGGTATGGCGAATCGGCACGATAGGGTTCGGGTAAATCATCATTATGCGGATTGGGTACTATATATGCCGAGTATTTATCCAATACCGACCATGCATCTGGTTCTTGAAATGTTTCAACATCCATATCTGGTTCAGGTTCAGTCAACTCCAATTTCTCAGGCATTGCTTCCTCAACGGAGGCTTCACGAATACTTGCCGAATATTCCTCCTCTTCAATGTAATCATCATCGTCGTCGTCATTTACTGGAAATGATTCAACAGCATCCCGAACAAAGTGCCGCAGTGGAGAGGCCGCCTCCCTTAGTTCGGCCAGCGATTTAGTATTAATGGTGGGTATACTTTCCACAGCACTACGTAACGGTAAGAAAACATCTCCAAAAGTTGGTGCAAGCGAATAACGGCTGAATGTATCTTCTTGTAGTTCTTTATCGGGGACACTTTCAACAGCTGCTCTAAAAAATCCAGGTTTAAAAGTAGGGGCATTATGTTCTTCGGGCGCCTCAATGCGTATGTGTGCCCATAATGGATTCGAGCAGAGTAACTGAAAGAGAAATATGAGGAAAAAAAATAAGAAATGAGATATCGGCAATGGCAATGGCAATGAAAATAATAAATAACCGTTATATATGGATTCAATAAAACTTGGACCGATATATTCCATTTTCCATAACAAATCTCCTACGAGTAATGTCAATTCGAAAAAAATATTCGCTACTTTCTTTGGCAAAAGTTGTCATGTGACGACAGTTCAACGTGTACAACGTAGAAGGCCAATTGTGAATGGTTCCGCACAATTTGTGTGTCCGAGTATTCTCAGAAATTCGAAAAACGAACAGGAGACTACCGTGCACAGTGATAATGAGCCGTACATCGGCTTAAGCTAATTCCTTTTAACCGGCCTAAACGTAGAATTGGTAATTCGCCCTACAGCCTTAAATTGGCGCCCAATGATTTATTTTTATTTCCATACCTGTGTCTGCCAACGATATCTTTCGCTGTAATATTTTCCTGAATCGATAAAATACTTTGTTATGGAGGTGTCTTGAACAGAATGGAAACAATTTTTCGACGATTGGTTTGAGCGTATAATCTGTCATTGTTGATGACAGATATTCCCATTTTTACACCGTCCACCATGGTATGAAGATTATTTAAATTTTGTCAAAATTCAAAGTCAATTTAGACATGTCCGTTGTAATCACTCTAAACTCCCAAGGAATTCATATACAATACTAAATTGCGCACAGTCGCGTCTTTTGTGTATAGACAGAACTCCCAAATTCACGGTGTCTTGAGGATTTTGGACACGTTTTCCGCTGATTTGGCAGCTATTTGGTATTTTGGATTCTCGTTGAGTACCAAACCTCTTTAAGAAAAATATCAATATTGTCTATATAGGGCTACGTTTAATTATGGCGCCCACAGGAAGGTGCCGTCCCATTTTCAGTATTAATAAGGTTTTAACTCATGGTACAATTACACAAGATAACTGCAAAACCACGATTAATACAATTCAAAAACAACCACATAGAAAATTGTTATTGTATGCAACACTAGTGTTAGTTTTATACGTCGAAAAATATAGTCTGTAACAAGGTGTATTTAATAAGGTGTATGCATCAGATATAACAACAAATATTTTACAAAAACAACATTGTTGTTATTGAAATTAGATTGTCATTCTGACAATAAGTTTTTGATAAAAATAAACAATTATTAATTTATTTTTAGCCAAGAAATATTCTTTGAGGAATAAATAATGAATTTGTGTATTCTTGTGTTATTGGCGGTTTTATGTCAGTGAAAAATAAAGTTTAAGGCCTGGTCGCGATTAATTTTAATTTTCTCACAATTAGGCCATGGCTCCTTGTGATGTTGTTTATATTGTGGATAACAATCTATTTTTTCTATGGAGTGGCTTCAAATCTTGCCTTCTTAAAGAAAATTGAAGGACATAAATCCACGGCCAAAGACTAAATCATGGATTGTTTTGACCGTATAAAATCTTTCCATAGGCGTATTTAACCTCCGCCGAGAATTGTGACAAGTACCAAGGGACCGATTCCAATATAGGCTAACTTAATCTCCTCGATTTTATGAGTAGCTGGGATTTCTGGACAGATTTCTACACATAACATAAAATATCTGGTCCAAATGGCGAACAGGGTTATAACTAAGCCTAAGTTTCCTTTCCGTCCCCCTCTATGATTGTAGTTTTCTTGAATTTTTATTATTAAAAAAGCCTAAATTTAAAGACCATTTTTGAAATATTATTGAAAATGTTTTTGACGATTTACTTTACAAATAATAAAGAAAAAAGTTTGAAACCATATGATTGTCACTTACACCTTATTAAATACACTGTCCGTAAAAAACACTGGCCTTTAATTAATTTTATTTACTCCTGATTTAGATTAGGCGAGTTTACTTGGCGCAATTATTATCGTTCTCTTTTGAACTTGCTTCATGGGTCTATACGAGGCAATTCGCTTTCAAAAATATATAGGTTTTTTTTTACATTTTGTGACAATGTTCTGGATTGGTATTTCAACTTACTGACACTACAAACAAAATACACAAAACGAATTGCCAGAAAATTGTCGGTAGGGGCATTTTTTTCAATTTCTATTCCCCTTGCCCCTCTCTCCAGCAAACAATGACTTGCCGCAAGTAAACTCGCCCAATCTAAATTGAGACCTCTTTTCAAAATACAACATTTTTATATATATGTCAAATAAATTCTCACAAAGTAGGTTAATCCGGTAAAAAGTTCTAATGTAAATGCTGTTTTACCTTGTACCATGTTATAATTATTGCAAGGTAATGCATATCTACCAGCTCAATATCAAATGGTTTTAAACTTTTTTATTTATTAGGTGTGTCCGATAACTTTTCAGTTAAATTAATTCAGTAACATTTGTGGAGAAAATTTGCTCTCTCAAGTGGAAATATTGAAAATATTTATCGAACAACATTACGCTCTCCCACACTTACTCTCAATTTAGTTCTGTTCAACACTGTCCTAGACCCCCGTTTTAGTACACCGATTTGTAAACGTAATACAGGCCACAGTTATGGACAATCGTCACATGTAGGATGGTTTTTGGCCAAAGAAGATCCCTATTGCTTTTAGTAATAATCGCATAATATTGAGGTGGTGATATGAACCAAATACTTTATTATATTCTGCTCTTCTGATCGATTTAAAGGCCACATTTATGACCCGAACATGACAACAAAGTGGTCTTACAATAGAATTAACATGCCTGTTTTGATAATGATCGATCAATATTTAGTGGGTAAAAAGGACCCAAACTTTTGTGTGAAAAAATGACAAAATTTACGTTCTATGGCGCATTTATTTTCTTCTGAAGGACACAGACCCGGGAAGTTGATAGTATATCTGAAAAGGGTGGATGACCTTTAAATTGATCATAAATATACTGTTTGGTTAATAATACAATTACCACACCAGAAGTCGAAAATATCGTACGGGTAGCTATGTAATTTTACAGTAAGTTCGCGACACCTACAAGTTTCGGTGATGTTCAGATTATATTTATGAATAGAATGGACTGAAAATATTGTAATGTGTCATAGTCGCCCTGCAGGTCTTTATTGTAAGCCGTACATCACACTTTTTACAGGGATAAGGGATATAGAGGTATATATAGAGGTTCAACTGAACCAAGACTTTTGGCGGAAATGATGCCAAAGTAAGAGGAGATGTTGACCTCCAATCGATTAAGAGGTTGCAAATATTGTGTAATATTGCACAGGCTCGGAATATAGATCTGTCCGACTATACTGCTTCACTCACTAGCGAAGCAGTATAGTAACAACCAATACAGTTTTAAGGACGCAACACTTCTTAATATCCCAAAAGAATGAAAAAAGGACATTAACATTTTCTTGGGGTCCAAACATTCTGAAATATAAGCCTTTAAATAAAAGCCTTGTGATTTCTCATGAAACTTCTCAATTTGCAATGAGATTATGTTGTTAAATTCACCTCCATACGGCGGTTTAACACACAATATTTTCCATCTAAAGAGGAATTCTGTACAGAACACTTTGTATCGCCTTTTTCCTTTTAATTTTGTGTGATTTATGACACCCAACATTTCTATGAAGAAGGAGAGGTTTAGAAGCCACTTCTCGGAAAAAATTATATGGTTTAATCGACTTCAAATCTTCGATAAACAAAGAATATATAAATAAGTAATAAAAATTCTTCAAACACAATAAAAATACAAATAACACATCATTTTTGTCAAAAACTAATTTGCAACATGGCAATTTTATTTCTATAACAAAAATTAGGTTTTTGCAGGGTTCGAAGAATGATTAAAATACGCTCTTTCTCACGAATGCTCACGGCGAGAATTCGAATGTTTTCAATTTATCGCGAATGATAAAGTTACAATGAATGAACAAGCACTTGCAATCACTCGCGAATGCTCGCCTTGTTCGCGAGCATTTGTTGCTGAAGAACATTCTTTTGAAAAACTCAAAAAAAAAATGTTCGCAAATGCTCGCGAGCACCGTTAAAAACAACAACAAACAAAAATGTCATAAAAAAGTAAACACACACAAGCAACGGAAGAATGTTTATGTATTGAGTTCACGACCGTTCGTTGTTATTATTGTTGTTGTTTTGAGCATTCGCGAGAATTCGGGAATGTTTGTTTTCATTCGTGAGAGAATGTCAGAAAGAATTTCAACCACCAAACGAAATCGTTTGTTATGTGTGTGCGAACATTATTATGAAGTAATTACATGGTATAATAATAGAAGGTAACAGCAAGTGTTGTCGTACAAAAAACGATACAACAACCACATGGAAATTTGTTGTTGTAAGTTCTACTAGTTGAGTTGAACCATTTGACAGAAAAATGTAAATAAACAAACAAATTATCATCAAATTATTTTTATTGTGAAAATGAAATATTTTCGAATCCTCAAAATAAAAATTGAAAAACATGAATGAAAATCTATCAAATTTATATTTCTATCGCTTCCACATCTTTCCTATAATTGAGCCATTGCCATATATATGTGTAACACATATGACAATGCTGGGAATAGCGAGTTGTTCCTTGCAGAAAGATTTGCTTCCTCAAACATTCCCAGCAGGCAGATTGAGTAAATTTAATACGGAAGCACATTTAATAAAGAACAATTTCAAATTGTATGCACTCCCAATTTTCCTGTTGGGTGATTTTTAAAAACATGATTTGTCAAAATCATATTGACACTAGTATTACGTTGAAATCAAATCAGCTTGGATTTGCTGTTACCTTTTATAATTGTACCATGGGTAAAGATTTTGTCGCCATAAATTCATTCGTAAAATGAGCACAAAACGAAAAAACTGTATTTTGAATCATTCGCGAGCGAATTTTTGCGCACCCTGTGTTTTTGAAGAATATTTTTTATAATGCATGCACATTGTTATGAATGAAACAAACATTTTATGGCATTCCCTACTGGGAAGAAATCATAACCATTTTCCGCGTTTTTAGTTGTGTTGGGTTTTTTATATTTGACATAAGAAGCCACTCCTTTTTTTGATTCACCTATTTTGTTTTATTTTACCATGGTTTTAATCGAATTTTGTGATAGTAGTGGCTATAAATTGGCATTTGTTTTTTTAGAGCATAAACAACCCCATAAAATGTCCACTACCCCACTTTTCCAATCTGATTTTCTGTAATTTAGAGCATTATCCAATAATCCAATAAAATAGTCCCCATATAGAGGTCCCGACCGAGCCATTAAGCCATTTTGAATGAATAAAAGACTAAAGCCTAAAATAATGCTTATTACATTTAAGTATGTAAAAATGTCCCGCAAATCCGAAAGAAAGTATCAATTTTTATAACCTCCATTAAAAGCCACATTAAACGGCATATACATTATAATTTTTTACCGGATTAACCTACTTTATGAGGCATAAAGACATATTTGCAAAGGAATTGACAATTAAAACCCACTGGGTTAACGAAATCCGGTTAAATGTAAATGTACTATTAATTATGAAAAAAATTTGTCACACAAATTGATAAACATTTTACTGTTTTATTTAGAAATCAGGATATTATTTTAAATCTTTGTATTTCTTTGTATGGGACCTTTTATGATTTTCTCAATAACCGATATTATTAACGATAAACACAACGGTAATGTCATTTTGTGCGGATCTAAAGCTTGTGGTTAATTATATATTAGCTTACAATGATTCAACAATAAATCGTATAAATTTGCATAAATACAAAAATTTCAAATCATTTTTTGCTAAGGTTTTTTTCAGAATCGCTTAATCGATTTTTTCAATTCTTAAACTATATAAAGCAAACATTAACATTTTGGAGAGATATATGGATGTATTAAACTTCTTTCAAATAACTCTGAATATTATTTTTGTAGTTGGTGATGCTAATTTAGTGAACGGCAGTGTAAAAGGATTATCCCGATTTTTATATAAGGGTATAATGTGTATTATCACGTTACAGGTTATAGTATAAATATGATTTAAATGATGGCAACAGAGTTGTATTTCATATCAATAAGATGGATTTTAAAATGCCATCGAATTTTTATCTCCATTCGTATTATTCTTTCTGGTAAATGGCAAAAACTGATCGCACTTTCTAAGGACTGACGATTATAAATATTTAAAAAAACGTTATCAATATTACTCACCAGCAGCCCAAGTGCTGCTACACTCCTTGGAGTTATCATGACCAAGGGTGTTCTTTGTTCTCCGTTGTGGAAAAGCCCTTTTGTTTCTTCACTACTTGATGTCTATCTGTAAAAAGAGCCAGAACAAAAAGTCATATGTCAATATTCAATTTTCAATTTTTTTTTTTTGTTAAAAAGTATGCACAACAGTAACATTAATCAATCAATCAGCAACAGCACCTCCACCACACAACTACATCGACACACGAAATACATTCATATCATTATGAATAATTCCCAGCCTATAAAAAGAAATAAGGAACCTACATATAACATCTTTTGCATATTAATTAAACGAACTCTCATGCTGTTGTTGCCGTTTGTTTGTTTTATTTTAATGACTGTTGGACATTTGTAATAATAATTGTTGTTGTTGTTTCTTTGTCGCGAGTTTATAGTTACTCATTATGAGAATATATATGTGTATGTGTGTGTTGCATTTGTACTTCATATATATTGTGTATTCCCAACATGATTTTACAAATTAGGAAGTAAAAAAGTTTTACTTTTGTTCTTGATAATTATTATTACTTATTGAAATTATTGAGGGTGTGCTTTTTTGAACTGGAAATAGACAAAAAGAGAAAGGGAATGAGATTTTCACTCTCACCTTCATAATAATGTAAGGTAATAGGATAGGGCATATATGGTTATGCGTTTAAACAGTTTATTAACATCCCTGTAGGTATTTTATGAACTACTTTACAAAATGTTCAGTTATGAAGGAACTATAAATTAGTTGGAAAATCATCTAAAACTCAATCACATTGAACCGAATAATTGTGTCTTACTAAATGTTATCTGTTTACCCAAAAATCCAGTAAAAGATAGTAAAGTGAGAGAGCAAGTTTGATAGTTCAACAACAAAAAACTTACTGGAGTTTACTGAATGAATTGTATGCAGTAAAATTTTGCAATCTCTGTAATTTTTGAATCAGCTGTTGTATGGCCAATTGACATAAATAATGTGCAAGATATCCAAATATTTTAATTTTTAAAGTGAAAATTTAACCTGTTGAATCATACTGAATGTTGTCTGTTTACTTTTCTCAGTAATATTGCAAAAGAGAATAAAAACGGCTTACTCTTTTACTGAGTTAAGGTTACTGGAAAGTTACCAGACACATCTAATATCAAAAGCATAATAGAAAGTTTACATTGTACCGGATTTCGTTAAAAGCCACTTTTTTACCCTTTACCACACTGTGGTACAGGGTATTATGTCTTTGTGCATATGTTAGTAACAGGCACTAGGAAACGAGATATACACATGGTTCCTTTTGAGAATATGCATAGAATCCCTTTCGGAGTCGATTTATGCATGTCCCTCCGCCAGTAGATGTTAAATTGTAAACAAAGTACAGGTCGCATTTATGATCCGATTTGGATGAAATTTGGCATAAGTCACTTATTTGGCCCAAGGAACCCTATTGAAATTGAAGAAAATCGGTTCAGATTTAGATATAGCTACCGTATATAGCTTCGTCCGATTTAAGGTAAAAGGGGCACCAAAGTCCCAATATATCTTTCGATTTGTACGAAATTCGCCATATGTTTCTAGAAAATCGGGTCAGATTTAGATATAGCTCCCACAAATATATTTTCGTCCGATTTAATATAAATGGGGCTCCAAAATCCCTATAAATCTTCCGAATTGCGCGAAATTTGGCATAGGGTACTCAATTAGGTACAGAATGGCGTGTGTAAAGTTTCTTGAAAATCTGTTCAGATTTAGATATAGCTCCCATATATAGTTTTGTCCGATTTTATGTAAATGGTGCACCAAAGTCCCTATATATCTTTCGATTTGCGCGAAATTTTGCATAGTGTACTGAATGATGCACCAAAGTCCCTATATATCTTTCGATTTGCATGGAATTTTGCATAGTGCACGGAATTGAGTCTAGAAAGAGTACGTTAAGCTTCGAGAAAATCGGGTCAGATTTAGATATAGCTTTCAGATATATTTTCGTCCGATTTAAGGTAAATTGGGCACCAAAATCCCTATAAATCTTCCGATTTGCATGAAATTTGGCATAGGGTACTGAATTAGGTCCAGAATGATGTGTGCTAAGTTTCGTGAAAATCCGTTCAGATTTATATATATCTTCCATATATATTTTCGTCCGATTTTATGTAAATTGTGCACTAAAGACCCAAAGTTTGGCCGACTGGCACACATTTTTGTACAATGTACTGAAGTTACTACAAGGTTTCTCGAAATCGGTTCAGATTTACATATAGCTCCTATGTATACTTTCGTCCGATTTTAAGTAAGTGGTGCACTAAAGGCCGATTGACACAACGTACTGAAATTAATATAAATTAATCTCTGGCAAGTTTCCTTGAAATCGGTTCAGATTTAAATATAGCATAGCTTCCATATATAATTTCGTCCTATTCATGTTGATTGTATACCAAATAGCGTGTGTAAAGTTTGCTTTAAATCTATTTACAAAATTTAGCATAGGTTGCAGAATGACATGTGTAGGGATTGATGTTAGTCGGTTTGCATATAGATAAAGATCACATATTTAAGATCGTTCAATGTTCCTTCGAAATGTTTCTTCGAAAAGGCGACGTCTGTTAGGATACATATGAGGAATATGCCCAAAGTGGTGAAGGGTATCATATAGTCGGCCAGGCCCGACTTTACTACTTTCCTTACTGGTTTTATGATATTTTTTGTATAATTTTTAAATACAACCATTAATAAACATTGGAAAAATGCTATATATAATGTAATTTCTTTTGGGCCGATAAACAAGTGATATTTTCAAACAAACTATAAATCAATGAAACATCAAAATCAACATAACAGCCAATAAGAAGTAGGCATTTCTGTTTACCATTTTACTCGGCCAAATTTCTCGATTAAAAAGTTTACAAAGAGAACGCCATTTTGTTTTGTGCTCTCTTAAATTTGATTCAATGTTTTACCGGTTTTGTGGGTTAAGGAACGGTTTTTGAGTAAGAAGTTGCAAAACTCTTCAAATTAGTAGATTCTTTTAAGTTCTGGATGGACCTACAATATTTTTGTAAGAGCAAACAAATGGAAATAACAGCTGATTTGTACATTGAGCCGGTTATTTTTAAGGTATTAGCGGCATTGTGCAACCATATGGCGGTACCTGTCCAATTTCGGTAATTGGCAGAACATTTTCGATATAGAATAATATTTGCTTTAGGTCTCATATAAAGTTCGCTGTAGTATTTAGACGCTATTTGCCTTCTCTTTGAGCAAACCAAATTTGTTAAATATTTGAGTGTAATGTGAACACAAAATCAAGAGTGTTAAAATTTGACATTGTTGCCAAAAAAATAAAACATATTTGAGTCAAATATTTGCGTACATTTAACTGGTTTCATAGTTTCTACCGCAATTAATGTTTTCTGAATTCTAAAAGGAATTTATCTTCATTACGTTAAGTGTTGCCAACTTGGTACTTCTAGGAGAAGTGAAAAATTGCATATTTTTTCTATATACTGACGAAACATTTTCTAGTGATCGATCATTAGATCACTAATTATAGCCATCTATCAATAATTGCAATCTCGGAAACCAATGCATCTTCTAACAAGGCATTGTAATTTACCTTACCAGTCATGGGACCTCAATCTCGTAGAATATGTTTGGGTATTATAGAAAATAAATAAGAATATATGAAATTAGTATTCACTAAATCCTAATCCCTGGATGGTCTGAAAAACGCCTGATATATCTGAATGTTCAACGTCTTAGAAGCCAAGACGTCTAGCAGCTATTATTTTTACTATAGATGGACCGACAAAATATTAAAAGTTAAAAAAATGATCTGTGTGATCCACAGGAAAGTGTTTTTATATGAAATACTTTTTATTTATTTTTTATTCATTCCAGTTTATTGATTTTTCGTACTACTGAAAAAAACCAAAGAACCACTTATTAAATTATCACTAAACTACCTGTCAAATATATATCGAATTTTAATTAAGGTTTAAATAATTTTGCATTTCACGTTTATCACAAAATAAAAGGCACACACGCATTCAGATATATATCAAGATGATGCCGCACATAAATCATACAACTTTTCAAAAGCTATTCAACAGATTTATAACATTTTCAAAAAACAAGTGTGTAATTCAATAAACAAGCGATATCACGAGATTAGGATCTATAGAAAATAAATATTGTATTAATTAAAATCAAAGTAATATTATTAAATTAAAAAATCAGGAAAATATAATAGGTTTGTTCCTGACCCAAATGTGACAGGTATTCTCTCAGGACATCTCAGCCTTCAGGCACATTTAAACCAGATTGAATGCGTCGTAAACATCAGCAGGAAAGACATTGAGGCCCATCTTTCAGATATAGCTCCGATATATAGAAGGTTCCGTCCAATTTTATATATTTTGGCAGGTTTAGAGCCAAAATGGCTGTAACTTCAAATCCCTGATTGCTGGCGAATAAGAAACATATTTCCGTTACGATCATTACGATATTTTTTCTTGTTTCTATTAATCTATTATTTAGAAGACAACGTCTTCGAGAATGCAATTAATAAAAAACACATGTGCTTTGCCTGTAAGATAACGAACAAATCCAATAACGAAATTCTTTGGAAAATTTCCAAAAAAAAAAATTAAGGAAACAAACTTGAAAATACAAACAAATATAAATTGCAATTTAAACAATACAATACACACAGACTTCCGTCTAATAAGGAATTAATTAATGTAACAATAAAAATTAATTAATATTCAAAGAACAATTGAGATAAAAAAAATGGTTCTTACAAACACAACAAACACCTAAGATATTGGAAAAAATATAACAATTTTTATATATAAACTGGCAATTTATTTATACGAATTCTCTGTTATTGTTGTACTTAAATTTTTTGTTGTTAAGTTTTATGCGGAAAGAAGCGAACGAACACCGACGACACATTTAATATTCTAGTAACGTTTCAAAGGTTACTAAAACACAAGAATTTCAACCGATCGGAGGAGAACTCACAACCAATATATGGATATGTGTCTCTTTGAGACAAT